CACCACCGAAACAACGACCGGGGCCCGGGGGCCTCATCCCTCTCTCCGTGAAAATGCCCCCCCCTTTTTTTTTAATTATTATTATTAGTTTTTTTTTATTTTTTTTTCAATTTTTTTTTTAAAAAAATTCCGATCGGAAAAAAAATAAATAAAAATGGGCAGGTGCCCCTAGACAGTCCCCACACGCCTACAAAAAAAAAAAGTACCCCTACCAGCCAAAAAAAAAAAAAAAAACGGAGTTCCCGCTCACCGTGAACTACCGGCGTTCACGATTTTCGTGAACGGTGACCGGTCTCCGTTCACAACCCCCGTGAATGGTGAACAGGGGTACGGCACTGGTTGGGTGGTTGGGTGGTTGGGAGGGTCGTAGATTGGGTATTTTGGTTGGGTGGTTGGGTGGTTGGGTGGTTGGGTGGTTGGGTGGTTGGGTGGTTGGGTGGTTGGGTGGGTGGATTGGTGGGTTAGTGGATTGGGGGGTTGTGCCGATGGTTGGGTGGGTGGTCAAGTTTAGGCAGACTGTTTCGTCGGACTGTATATGACTTTTTAAGCATGACTGTACCACACTGTTTCGTCAGAGTTTCACCGACTCATCAGAAGGTTGGGCCCCGACAGTCTGGCCAGGATGCATTTGACTGATTTACAAGGACACACACAGACACACGTACACACACACACACTATATATATATATATACACAGACAGAGAGAGAGAGAAACACATGTGTGAATCATAGTATTTTGCGCGGAAACGAACCCCACATATGGAGAGGCGGTTAACGGAGACGCAAAATTTTAGCGTTTTTTTAATGCTATTTATAAGAAAACCACAAGCCCTTTTTAACCAAAAATTGCATCATTCCATAGAGTGCACACCATATTAACAAACCAAATGGGGGGTCCCCATTAACCACATGTGCACATATGTTACACACTCACCCAATCCCAACCACATATCAAATGTTTGTAAATGACAGTGCCTTTTTTTATGTGACTGAACGGTTTGACGTGCCGATCGATGAAACATTCCTGTGACATAAGGTTTCCCATAACGCGGAAGCCTTTGTTGTGCTCCCAGTTGGGTAGCGACCACATACGGGGCAATGACCCTCACTGTTGCACCTAACATTCCCCGTGCCAGACATAGGTTTGTTCATATAAGAACCTCTTGCACATGACCGATTTGCATGAGCAGCTTGGGTTTGTAATGCTGAAGTTAATTTTCCCTATCCTGCAGACGTTGTTCGTGCAAGTCAATCTCTTGTCGTATTGCTTGCAAATCAGCAGCTGTGCTCCGAAGGACTTCCCCGGCTGCATGCAAGCGTTTGCTAGCCACTTCAAGATTGCTGACGACATTTTGAATAACGAGTCTTGCGTTGCATAACTAGCATTTTGTTAAAATTGATATTTTTTACTATTTTCACAAAATTGGGCATCCAAGAAAAAATTGAGTTTTTTAGTGTGTTTTTGTGCCCACGACATCGGACCATTGATGGTCCGGCGTCCTGGGGACTCCGGACCATCTGATGTATCTCATCGTAAAGTACCATCAAAATACATTCGAGGGTCGAAAAAAAAAGAAAAAAAATTGAGGCATATCAGATGGTCCGGCGTCCCCAGGACGCCGGACCATCAATGGTCTAATGTGGTCGGCGCAAAAAAATGTCAAAGAATATTGTGTTCTTTTGGAAGTTCAATTTCGTAAAAATAGTAAAAAATGTTAATTTTAACGAAATGCCTGTTGCATAAAAGTTTCTCGTTCGACATGTCCGTACACACTTAACTCCAATGTTCGCGACAATTTGTTGAGACCTTGTAGTGGTTGCACGAATGAAATACAGCACGTGACACAATGTTACGGATTCTCTCTCTCTGCAGTGACTGTGTGGCCACAGTCTTCCTTCACTCGAAGCTGCCACCTTCCCGTCCTCCCAAATGTCGGGGAGTAGCCATGCGTATGCAAGGGCAGAGGACTTCCGACGAAGGAAGGACACGTGATGATACGCTTTTCAGAGCTGGACGGGATACCACGTTTCATGAGGAATGCTAAGAATGTGACGCATCGGTCGCAAATGAGGAGGAAGGAGCATTTCATACAGGTCATAACAAATGGGACTGGTTACCTGGGGAGAAAGGCGGAGGACGTTGACATATCAGCGGGCGGATTCGTGCAAATGACGGAGGTGGACTTAAAGCAAGAGACATGGGAGGACGGGAAGGTGGCAGCTTGGGTGAAGAGATTTGAAGGTTTGGTGATGACCCCAATTGACCGGAACCAGGGTGATACTGCGATGATATGCCCGGTGACATACCGACACGCGTTTGGGAAAACATTCATGTGGAACTCCGACTACGTGACGATGAGAGAAGAGGAACAAATGATTCTCCAGACATCGCGCAAGGAGTTTGAACAAGCCAGACTACAGAAGATCGTGAATTGGAAGACCGATGGCAGGATTGGACGAGCATACGTGATCCTAAAGGACAAAGATCTATCACGGTGGAGACCAATCGCACCAGCACATGGAGATCCAGCTAGTCTGGCACAGAAAAGAGTCTCCAAAGCACTACACTATCTCATCAAGAAATTTCCGACCGAGCAGTCATTTTACCTGAATGCGATTCAGGAGCTGCCGGGACTACTAGAGGCAGTGCAGAGAAGGTTTACCGAGATGGGGTGCACGGGGGAAGAAGGGCAATGCTACGATATCAAGGATATGTTTACAAAAATACCGCATGAGGCGGTGCGGCGGTCAGTTTGGCAGTTGCTGCTGTGGTACGCAAACAGAGGATGGAAAAGCAACTGAAAGTGTCAAGGAGGGGGAAGTTGTGCACGATGAGCACGACTCGGAGAGCGGCAGACAGATACGTTGGGATACAATTCGAGCAGATGTTCAGCATGGTTAAATACAATCTCGAACATGCACACATCAAATGTGGGGACACCGTGAGGAGACAGGTGTCTGAAATCCCGATGGGGAAATCCAGTAGCCCGACGCTGGTCACCATTACATGTGTCATGGCAGAGTTCAATTGTCTGAACGGATTAGGATCTAACCGGAAGCTGGTAGCAGGATGGAGGATAGTGGACGGCGTCACAGTCATTGTGGGAAACCGGGGAGGAGGGGAGAAGGATGCGAGAGCAGATAAGAGGAGCACATTCAGAGAACTAGAGACATGCTATGACAACAATCTGAGCCTTGTTAGAAAGGACGAGGAGAGGGACTCGTGGCAGTTCCTCGGGGGGACGGTGTATCTGATTCAGAAACCGCTCAGATTGCTGTACATGTCGAATACGAACAATCTGGCGTCATTGTGAGAAGAAGGAAAGCTCAAGTTCCAGACCATGCAGGATTTTTCTTTGTACTACTCAGAAAAAAGAGCAAAGAAGTCAACACTGGCCGCTACTTTGAAGAAATTGTGGTCGTCCACTTCGTGCCTGGTCCTGGTAGTAAGCTTCGTAGCGTACGTAGTATGGGAATCCAACCTCTGGGGATATACCCCGGAGGTCTCTCTTAGTGCCTTGGCCAAATTGGTCAAGGTTGCGGACGACCCAAACCTGCGCAGGCTCTGGCAGGTGATGAACGTGACATTCGAGAGGAGACGGCGGCAGAGGGATGAGAGGGAAGGGGGAACAGGGGAGAGGGTACTAGGATACGGGGGGAGAGGAGAAGAGGACACCGAGGAAGGGGTAATAGGTAGGGAAAATGGTCGGTTGTGGTCCGATAGATAATGAGTTTGCGCCAGCCATCGGAAAACAATTTTAAAATTTCGGCCGACTTAGAGGATGCTGGGTGGATAGGTTGGGTAGGGACCGATGAGTCGGCGACGACTGAGGCCTGGCGGTAAGCTCAGGGACTTCTTGAAGTTACGAATTTAGATTTTGAAAATATTCTTAAAGTCGGTAGACGTTCGGGTTCGGGGGAAGGGGCAGGGGAAAGGCCGACCCAAACCTGCACAGGCTCTGGCAGGTGCTGAACGTGACATTCGAGGGGAGACGGCGGCAGAGGGATGAGAGGGAAGGGGGCACAGGGGAGAGGGTACTAGGATAAGGGGGGAGAGGAGAAGAGGACACCGAGGAAGGCGTAATAGGTAGGTAAAATGGTCGGGTGTGGTCCGACAGATAATGAGTTCGCGCCAGCCATCGGAAAGCAGTTTAAAATTTCGGCCGACTTAGAGGATGCTGGGTGGATAGGCTGGGTAGGGACCGACGACTAAGGCCTGGTGGTAAGCCCAGGGACTTCTTGAAGTTACGAATTTAGATTTTGAAAATATTCTTGAAGTCGGTAGACGTTCGGGTCCGGGGGAAGGGGCAGGGGAAAGGCCATAGTATTAGTACGGGCAGCAAGGCCAAGGCTGCCTCGAGCTACGGAATCCGACTGGATTCCACCTCCTGAGGAGTCCACTCGTAGGCGGACAGAAACGCAGCATCGAGGATGCTACGAAGCTCGGAGGAGTGGTGGCAATCACAGGGTCATGGTGGGACAGAACGAAAAGGAAAGAGTAAGCTAGGTGGATAAGAGAAATGGAAAGTTGGAGGAAAAGTTGTGGGAAAATCATATCTTATGGAAGAGATACTTTCGTTTTTACTATGAGCCAGCATGCTGCTGTGACAGTGTGGCCGCAGTCTTCCTTCACTTCACTCTCTCTCTCTCTCTCTCTCTCTCTCTCTCTCTCTCTCTCTCTCTCTCTCTCTCTCTCTATCTATCTATCTCGCTCTCTCTCTCTCTCTCTACGCGTTTATCAGACATTCACTTATGAAGCTTCACATGTTCACATACAGTGCTATGTACGTGAACATGCATAATGTTTCATGCACCCGAATTTTGCGAATCAGAGAAGCCTGTATTCCAAAAACCAGGCGATGTTGACGGTCTGCGTTGGTTATCCTTATGTTGTGAACATTCTTGCACAATATCGTGACGGTCTGTTCCATGCACCCCCAACGCGTCACGAAAACGTGTGAACTCATAACATTCATGTCCCTTTAGCAACTCTCCGTCT